GCGGCGGCAGCAGAAGAAGCAGCAGCAGCAGCAGCAGCAGCAGAGCATCCCAAGCCGGCCCAGCGGTGTGCACTCTGACAGCGCCATCGTGCACCAAGAGATCCTGGGCCAAGAGCGGCTCTTCCAGGGCGCCTTCCTGGGCAGTGAGACGCGTGGCCTGGAGTTCAAGCGCGGCGGTGGCGAGTACCTGAGCCTGGCCTTCAAGCATCACGTGCGGCGCTACGTGTGCGCCTTCCTCAACAGCGAGGGTGGCAGCCTGCTGGTGGGCGTGGAGGACAGCGGCCTGGTGCAGGGCATCCGCTGCAGCCACCATGACGAGGACCGCGCCCGCCTGCTGGTGGACTCCGTCCTGCAGGGCTTCAAGCCCCAGGTCTTCCCTGATGCCTACACCCTCAGCTTCATCCCTGTGGTCAGCACCGCCATGACCAGCACCCCCCTCAAGGTGAGCTGCGGGGCAGAAAAGCCTCTGCAACCGTTTTGTCACCTGTCATCACTTAACAAGACAATGGCCCAGGCTACTTTGCAAAGCAGTGTTGGGAGTGGCAGCAGGGGAGCAGGGGAGCAGGGGAGCTGGGAAGGGAGGGATGGGAGACGAGGCTGGGATGGTGTCAGTCTCAGGCCCTGGGCTCCCTACCAGGCTGCCCTTAGGAGCCAGCGAGCAATGAGGAGCGACCTGGGCGGGCTGGGGCGGCCTCACCCGGTGCAGCGCCTGCCAGAGCTGCTGTTGCCCTCGCCAAGGTGATCCGCCTGACCGTGCACGCCCCCAAGGCCCAGGGCCAGCCGCAGCTCTACCAGACGGACCAGGGGGAAGTATTCCTGCGGCGCGACGGGAGCATCCAGGGCCCACTGTCAGCCAGCGCCATCCAGGAGTGGTGCAGGCAGGTAAGGTGGCCGGCCAGCCCTGGGCACCCTCTGCCAACCCTGAGCCGTGAGCAGGCCCTCCTGTCTCCCAGACCCTGCATTGACCTCTGGGCCAGGGGACGGCTGGGTTACAATGACACCTACTCCCTGGGACCAGCAGTTAGCGTAATAGCTATGTTGCTGGACTCCCATGTAGTCAACCGCAGTTCGAGTCCCGGACCCGGTGGCTTAAACTCATGCTGGGCGCGTGTGCGTGCGTGCCCAAGATCCCGAGAGGAGAATGGAGGAGAAGGGATTGCGGTGTGGCCATGCCCCCTGGGGGGGGATTTCTCGCTTTCTGTCTCTCTGTCTCTGTCTTTCTGGCGAGCACACACACCCTATAGCAAAAATCTCTCAAAAAAAAAAAAAAAAAAAAGACACCCCTTCCCTTATGGCGCAACTCTGCAGCTGGAGGGTGGGGAGAGACCAAATGCTCTCCTTTTTATTATTTTTTAATTTGCTGTAGGGTGCATGCTCATGCCGAAGAGAAAGAGAAAGGGAAAGTAAGAAGGCACCCCCCAGGGGGTATGGTCATGCCACAATCCCTTCTCCAGTCTTCTCGGGATTTTAGGCATGTACACACACGTTCCCAGCATGTTTTTAAGTCACTGGTCCGGGACTCAAACCGCACAACTGGCCATGTGTGACTCAGCTACCTTAACCACCATGCCACCAACTGGCCCTATAAGCACTCTCCTTTTTAAAATCCACGTTCCACTTTAGAACCTGAAATCCCTCCACCCTGACCTGGGCTAAGGCATTCAATCCTTCGGTGGCTGGGGCAGTGCAGACTGGACTATGGAGAACTTGCGAGAAAACCCCAGGCTCTCCCTAAAGAGAGGGAAACATTAGCTGGTGGAAAAGCAGAGGAAGGCATGGGGGCGGGGGACTGGGCACACACAGAATGGGGACAGTGCAGCACCCTGGCGCATCCCTCTGGACCCAAGTGGACTTGGTCAGAGGCAGCGGCATGGCTGGGGCCCTGGCTTCCCTACTGAGCTGAGAGGGGCCCCGGGACCCTGGGCCTTGCCTCTCCATCAGTGCAACCCCAGGGAGGGGGTGGGTCTGAGCAGATGTCAGCTTGGCCATGCGCTTAGACACTGCCCCCTCAGAAGTGGATGGTGGAGCTGGCCAAGCTGGAGGAGCAGGTGAACACGCTGACAATGGAGAAGGAGCAACTCCAGCAGCAGCTGCAGCGGCCCTGGCCCATCTCCTGCACCTGCTGTGTCCTGTGAGGCCCCGGCCGGCGGGCGGTGCGGCGCTCCAGAGGACGCGGGGCTCTAGTGACACCGGTGGGCTGCTCAGAGGTGGAGGGGGGCTCTGGCTTCCTCTCTGTCAGCGCTGCGCACGGCTGGTCCCCATGCTGCTTCATCCTGAGCAGTCCGGGTCTGTGTAGCCAAGAACTGGCTCTCAGAAAGGACTTATGAAAACTAGCCGGAGCGACCCTGGGCTAAGCCAGAAGAGCTCGTCCCTCTCCCTGGAATGCCCGTTTTGCCCAGGCTGGGGTCTAGGACTGCAGCTGGCTAGGCAGTGCCAGGAAGGAATCTCGTCTTGGGAGCCCCTCACAGACAGCAGCCAGCCTCCCCTCCTGGCCTGCAGGAACTTGGGACTGTCAAGGCTCCTTAATAAACGCCATGTACCTGGGCGAGCGGTTCTTTCTAGGACACCAGTCAGCTGGATGGATGCTGCTGGTTGAGTCCCACACCCCTCCCTGTCACCTGGGCCTCCACCGCTCAGAGCTGCAGGGGAAGGAGTCTGGGCCACCGGGCTCCAGTCTGGCTCTATCTTGAGCCAGAGCCTCGGTGAAGTACTATGCCTCACTGCCTCCGCTTCCTCACCTGTTAGGACGGTGACAACAGGCAAAGGGCAGGCCATTGTCTCATCAGGCCTATGCCCTGTGTCTCTGCCAGCTGTGGCCCAGAGCAGCACCTGCATGGAAAGGCCCTCGGGCTCCTGGAGGGGGTTCCTGCGCTGGCCATTTCCCTGCCACCCACACAAGCTGAGTCAGAGACCCAGGCTAGTCTGATCATGCAGCGCCGGCACGCAAAGCCCGAACAGTGGCTTACTCTGTGCTCTACCTCCTGGCCCACCTGCCTCCAGGCCTTCTGCCCCATGGGCAGGCTGATCCAGCCTCACTGGCCAGTGGTGCTGCCCCTCCCCCTGCCTACGAGGCTCCTGCCCAGAGAGCTGCATGACTCTTACCTCCTTTCCTCTCCACTTTCGTATTTGCTCACTCTCCCACCAGCTCTATTTCTTCCTTGTCAAAGAATTTGCTAGAGGGTGTGTGCATAAGCCAGAGAGCAACAGAGAGAGGAGGAGACAGAGGGAGAGGAAGAAAGCACCCGCCCATGGGGCACGTCACACCACAGTCCCTTCTCCGGGTCTACCCTGTTGGGGTTTGGGGCATGCACAAGCTGCAGGGTCTGGCCGCGTGGGAACCAGCCACAGTAACCACCAGGCCTCAGGGCCAGCCCCCTGCGCCAGTGCATCCATCCGCTTCCCTGCTCCCACCCTCCTCCTCCACTGCACTGCACGCTCTAGCTTTTTCCCATTTTTTTGAGAGGTTTTCGCTATAGGGCGCGTGCACTCGCCAGACAGACAGAGACAGAGAGACAGAAAGCGAGAAATCACCCCCCAGGGGGGATGGCCACGCCGCAATCCCTTCTCCTCCATTCTCCTCTTGGGATCTTGGGCACGCACACACACGCGCCTGGCGAGTTTAAGCCACCAGGTCCAGGACGCGAACCGCAGATTACGTGGGAATCCAGGGACATAGCCATTACGCTAACTGCTGGTCCCCCTTTTTTCCTTTTTTGAGGGGTTTTTGCTACAGGGCATGTGCACTTGCCTGCCTGCCAGAGCTTGCCAGAGAGACAAAGTGAGAAATCACCCAAGGGGATGGCCACACCACAATCCCTTCTCCATTCTCCTCTCACACGCGTTCACACACATACGCCTGGTGTGAATTTCAAGCTGTCAGGTCTGGACTCAAACTGCGGTCGGCCAGGTGGGAACCCAGTAACGTAACCATTATGCCATCTGCTGGTCCACACTCTAGCTTTTATTTGGTGAAACACAAGCTCAGGGCGCAGGGTTGGTTATTCCCTGCTGTGTCTAAACCCCGGACATAGCATGTGGGGCTGTGTTTGCTGGAAGATGACAGATACTTGCAAATTTGGGGTCTGGGCTGCCAGAAAATCAGGAGCCATGTCACACAGGGCATTCCACAGGCCTGAGGTCCACAGAACCCCTCGGCTGACCTCCCCCTCCCTCCGTCTGGAACAGACACGGGGAAGCTCTGAAACCTCTGCCCCTCCTTCGCCAGTCAGGCAGCACCGACTGCTGGTTTCCTACTTGGCAGACACACCCCTGCTTTGGCTGGGCATAGGGCCCAGGTGTGACAGGCGAAGCCTGAATTGTCACAGGTTACCAACCCTGTTACCCAGAGCTGCCAGGGTGCTGAGGCTCTTAAAAACGAATGAACAGGGACCTGGCAGCTTAAAACTCAAGCCAGATGGGCGTGTGTGCCCAAGATCCAAAGAGGAGAATGGGGGAGAAGGGATTGTGGCATGGCCATCCCCCTCGGGGGTGATTCCCTGTCCCGGCTGATGCACCAGGCATCAGCACCCTCACCGACACCACTGTTGGGAAGGGGCCGGCTTCAGTCCCTCCACATCCCCCAGATCATTGGAAGGTACGGACACGGGGGAGCCTTGGCTTCCTCCCATTAGGGTGAAACTTCCAGACACTGGTCAACTGACACGCCTAGGCTAGTCAATGAAGTCTGGCTTCCACCCTCAGCCTGGGACGGTCCCATCTGACACAGCTGGGAGCAGGGCTGACAAGGTTCTGCAAACCCCGGAGGGCCTGGATCCCTCTTTTCTTGGAAAGGTTATGCTCCTTGGACAGGCGAGGCAGGGGCAGGACAGCAAGTACCAGGCTTCAAAGCCCCCATCCTCACTGCCGAGGGGGCACCGTGGTTTCCGATGGACATGGTTCACCTGTCTAGGGAATGGCTGTTTCAGAAAATGAAGGCTGTCTGATGGGAACAGCAGCTGGAAAAAGGCTAGAATTATGCTCAATCAGCCACGTTCACAATGCCAAGTGTGGATGCCACGTAAGGGAAGGTCTCCTACTGCAGCTTGTTGGGGGCAGGGGTGCATGGGGGGAGCAGATTTCACAGGCGGCTCGCTTTCGGTCAGGAGGCAATTCAGCAGCTTCCTGGACTCAAGAGTGATGGTGGTCTCGGACCAGTGGGGCTGGACCAAGGGGAGCCCCACTCTCCAGGTCGCCTGATGAAGGAGGCAGGTCCCCGACGAGAGGAAGAAACATGTCCATTCCCCAGCCCTGGCCTGGAATGCTTCACGGAGGACCCGGCTTGGCACTAAGCAGGTGTGCTCAGCAGCCAGGGACAGGTAGGTGCTGTCACTGACACCCTACATCACTCTGGAGACAGGTGTCCTTCGGCTCATGGGCCTCACTTGGAAGGCTGAGGGGGAGCAGGGGATCTCCGAGGACACAGCCAGGCTGCCCAGGTGAGTGCCCAAGCCCGGTGCCTGGCAGAGGAAAGGGCTTGGGCATCGTCCTCCAGGTCTTCCCTCCCCTTTCTGCACATCAGACAACGCACACGGGCCCCGCTCTGCATGCAGAAAGCCTGCACAGGAATCCCTCTGGAGAAGGCTTGCTCCTATTAAAAGGAAAAGCTCATCTCTTAGTTCTTAAAGAAACTGATCAGGCGGTTCACTTAGGCTGCCCGCTGGGGGAGAGCCCGGCACTGCTGGTCCAGGTGACCGAGCACGGCTGCGCTCACCACGTGTTCTTTCCCCAGCTGGCCCACAAGAGGGAGAGGGCAAGTTCTGACTCTTGTTCCGCATTATTTTATTTAAGTTAGAGTATACACCGAGTCCGGCCAGAATGCAGCAGGCACGTGGGTACGCCCACGTGACGTCACATTAAGAAAATAGTTTCCCACGCTGCACTGTGACTACAGTAACACCATCCTGGAAGAAAGAAGTACCCTCGAGTCAAAGCTGTCTTATCTGAGAGGGATGCAGAGGCAGTTTCCCCAAAAGATTCTTCGTTCTTTTTTTAAGTGACCCCTTGATGCAAGGAGTGCTTCTCAGCCCCTGGAATAAGAGGAGCCAGAGGCATGGGATTTTCAAATCACACTTCAGAGACACAGACTTCTTGCCGCTCTGTGTGCTACCAACGGACCGCCCCCACTGGAACGAGAACCAGCCGCAGCTGGCAGTCAGGGCAGCGTAGAGAGCTGTCTCAGGTTTCACTGCTCCTGGTGGCTAGCGCGCCATCAGGTCCCCAGCACCAAGTGTAAGCACTAGCTAAAGTGGCCTCTCTGTGCTCAGGTCGTCCTGCGGCCAGTCTGGGCACCCCAGGGGCAGCAGCAGGCCCTGTGCTCAAATCCTTGACACGAGGCAGCTGGAGAAACGGGGTGGTCAAGGGTAACCCTCCCAACCCGTCCATCCTCGGCTCCTGCAGACACTCTGCTACTGTCCCGGAAACTCAAGAAGGCAAAGGAGAGTGTCACACAGGGCAGGACACGTGACAGGACATGCAGGTGACGTGCTTTCCAAATACCTTTCCCCACCATACAATAACTTTAACAAGATCATAATTTAAAGGAAGTGTCAGAAGCCAAGTGTAAAATCAAAGCTGTAAACTCCATCCAAGTTCAAAGGCTGTCCTGAAGAATCATCGCTGTGAAAACAAAAACAAATCAGCGATTATACGATGTCTATTAGAGTACAAGTGAGAACTGGCCTGGCTGTGGGGACAGTGAAGCACAAGACTCTCAGTGCTGGAAGCCACACGAAGACTGGGGTTCGGTTCCCGGGTCAGCCTGCACACATGCCCATGATCCTGGCTGGCTGGGGAGGCTGGCGGGAAGATCATGTGGGTAAACTATGAGGGTGCCTGTCTTCCTCTTGCTCATGAAGGAAAGAGACAAGCTTTAAAAATAAATTGTAGCCAGCTGTCCTAAGAAACTCTGCCTGTTTTCCACAGTAGGATAATAGAAGCCTCATTGGAACACCTGAAGAAATTGGGCTATTGGAAAAGTCATGATGCATTTTTTGCATACAGAAACAGAAAGAAAAGGGGACCAGCAGGTGGCATGGTGGTTAAGGCACTAGACGCTCCCACATGGTTGACCACAGTTCAAGTCCCAGACCTGGCGGCTTGGTTTCTCATTCTCTCTCTCTCTCTCTCTCTCTCTCTCTCTCTCTCTCTGTGTGTGTGTGTGTGTCTGGTCAAATTAAAAGAAAATGAATGAATAAATTAAATTAAAAAAATAAACAGAAAAAATATAACATGATTTTTTCAACAACCCATTAAGCTGACAATTCCTACAGAAATCACGTTTTGAGATCTCGCATCAACTTCCACTCGGCCTCAACACAGGCGCTCCTTCTCATAACACACAACCTCTTAACAGAGCCATGGGTGGGCCATCCTCCCCCTGCGAGGCAGGCAGAAAGTCCACGCAATCGACCAAGTATCTATCTCCATTACTGCTCAAGTCGCCTTTCTCTTTTTAAAAGTTTTTCCTTTAAAAAAAATGTTTGCTAGAGGGTATGTGTGCTCGTCAGAGTGAGGCAGGGGTTGGGGGAAGCACGTCCCATGAGGAATGGTCATGCCACAATCCCTTCTCCTTATCTTCCTTTCAGGATTCTAGGCACGCATCCTCACTCGCCCGGCATTTCTTTAAACCGCCGGGTCTGGGACTTGAACTGCGTAATCGGTCAGGCGGGATCCATTCACCTCAAATACCATGCCACCAGCTGGCCCATCAGTTTCTTTGACGGTCCAACAGCCTGTAACAAACCATTCGGTGAGGGTGCTAAATGGTTACTTGACACAGAGCAGCAACCAAGGCCCTCCTCCTCACACTGACCTACATCTCATGCCTACCCACCTGGCAAAGGTGACCTGAGGGCAAGTGGCCAACCACCCAAGGCAGGAGGGGAAACAGCACAGGTGAGACCAGCCTAGGCCAGCACCAGAGGCCTGCTGGATAATCGGGGTGGGCACAACTGAGGAGGTTCCCCCACCCCGGCCTCAGGGCAGGAGACCAGCTCGCCTATGGGACCCCCATGAGTGGACCACACCCACACCACCACCCCCTGCTTCTCCTTCCAGACCAGGTTCCTGACTATCAACCCCTCTGACACCCTTATCTGCTTCTATTTCCACCTGCCCCCCACCTTTCTTAAAAGAGTAGGAAAAGCAGAGATAGGCACGTTTGACAGAGCCCCCTGTGGCAGATCCCCTGCCCCAGCACCCAGATTAGCTAGGACTACAGGTATGTATAACAAACCTGGCCCATTCAGGCTGGCCCAGGAACCAAACCCTGCCCCCCGCCCCCCCTACACACACAGTTTTCTAGCCCCCGAGCAGTGGTACTATCCGTGCATGACCACGGCTGGGCTTAGAGTCTGCATCTCTGCCGATACCGTCCAGTTCGTTACCTCACAGGACTTTGACGATTTGGGGCAGAACCCATATTACTGGACTCTGTAAACTTTATAAGCCCCGTCACAATCAAGCCTGTTCAATAACTTTGGATTTTGAAGGATTTCCAGGATAAGTAGCAAGCAACTCAAAATTGTTTTGTAAGTGCTGTCAGTCTTAAAGCGCTCTCTGAAGAAAGCATGAGGCTCTGTAAAAATGACAAACACCATATGACACACCTGTCACCTCCTTCAACATGTCCAAGCTTATGGCTCCATGAGACAATAGGGCCTCAGACCCCGGTTCCCCCAGAAGCAGACAGCACCTGAACGCAGCGTTCAGTGCTGAGACAACTGCACGCTAACTGGTGTCCCCCGCTGCGTCCCCATAAATCAGGGCAGGGGGTCCGCCCTAACTGGTCCCCCACGTAACAGCCACACTGTCTGACCACTTCCGCTCCGGCAGATAAACATATCCAGCACTAAACTTTCACGATTATCTTGCAATCCTAGCACATTTTCACCTTTGTTTTTGTTGTTGTTGTTTAAAGCCTAAAAATGGATCGCTTACGTTACCAGATCAGTCGTGATTTATAGCCGGAAACTTCAACTCGGTGATTTCAGAGTCAGGGGAGCTGCTTCCACTTCTGTCGCTATAGGTGTCCCTGCAGAAGTCACAATTCAGGTTTATTTACCGTCTCTCAGCAAAACCTCACTTTATTCCCTGTTTATGGGGGACACCCATCTGTCTGAGCAGCAGAGACCAGAAAGTCTCCATCACAGAATACACTTCCCGTGAGGCTGAGGGTGATTTTCCTCTTCTAGTTACAAAGATAATTGTCCCATTTATACCTCGGTCACGATAGCCCAGGCACCTACTCAGAGTAACTTTCACATAAAGGCAGCAATGGGGCATGAGCCTGCTCAGCCCATGGCCTGATCCCCACGGAGAACCACGGCCTCCTTTCCACATGGGCCAAAGGTCCTATGCCAGATGTGACGCATTCAGCACCACGGAGCCTGGACAGCTGCAGAGGGGGACCTGGCCGCTACGCGGTGACAGGTGTGTCATATGGCGTTTGTCATTTTTACAGAGCCTCATGCTTTCTTCAGAGAGCGCTTTAAGACTGACAGCACTTACAAAACAATTTTGAGTTGCTTGCTACTTATCCTGGAAATCCTTCCAACAGTTATTGAACAGGCTGCTCAGCAGAACAAACCCTGGAAAAGGAGAGGACCCGCAGGTATAAAGGGAGGAACGCGTGACGCCACACCCCCGGACACCGGCCCAGGCCCCTGTGTTTTGCACTGCCTCGCTGAAATAAATCAGGGACTGTCTGAAGGACCGACGCAACAAGGAGCTCGTGACTGAGACCCAAGGCCCTACCTGGGCGAGAGCCTGCAGCCTTTCTGGAGGTAATGCGGCAGCCGCCCCACAGAGGCCAGGAGGAGGCCGAAGTACGGGGGGGAGGGCTTGATAGGCCTGGACAGGAACTCGGGGTGGTACTGGACCCCAACAAAAAAAGGATGATCTGAAACAGAAATCCAAAAGAAACAGCTTCGTTATGTATGTTATGCACGAGAAAAACGCTTGTCCGGTGTTTCTCATTTCCGCAGGCCTGAAATTATTTGAGAATAGTGTCTTCACATGAACCTAGGTAAAAACACGAGCCTTCCCTGTACCGCTGTCCCCTCCCAACTGAAGGGGCTCCTCTCCAGGGTCCTTCCCTGCAGCCCTGGCTCCCAGCTGGGCCGCACAGTTCACGTGGCGTTCAGGGGAGTTAGTACGAAGTCCAACTTCTCATTTTAAATGAGCAGGAACCGTGACCGGGGTTCA